CCCCAAAACCCCAAAACCCCAAAACCCCATGAGATCTTAATTGTTTTGATTACTGATTATCACTAATTAAATTAATCAATTTTGTCGTTTAAAAATCACATAAAACACTAAGAAATAGCACAGCAATGTGTATAAAATCATCCTAATAAGAGCATAAATTTCAACAAACTATCTTAAAAACTGAGATTAAGGCATCTATAAAAATCTTCTTTCGGTCTTTACTTTCATGACCCAATCAATAAAGTAGGAAATATACATTAGCGAGTAGTAAATTATTCTATACTCTCCTTTTCCAAGAGGCTTATCCCATTAATTTCCTTTATACTATGTGAATGTCATCTCCTTATTTATTCTTCTTAAACTCTGCCTTGGTTGATTTTTACCCTTTGATTACCTTACGCTTATTTCATCATAGTCTCTGTAGATTTCTGACTCATCTTCGAATCTAGTAAATCCTCTCTACCTTAGACTTGGTTATTATCCTCGTGATAATGATCTTGTTGGACTCATTCTTAAATTGTAATTAGTTTTGTTAATAGGTTAGGTCATTCTTCTATCGAACAAATTTCTTGGTTCTAAATTAGAGGGTTCTTCTCCTAATAAAAATCCTTGCTTATTTGAAGGGATAGTTGTCCTATTTATATCTTTGGTTTTAAATAATGGCTCAGGCTGTCCTTATTTAAAAGAAGAGAGATTATAGGTTTAATTTATTTTTTAATCTTTAATTACTCCTCCCTCCATATATTGCTTTCTAAGAGTCATTCCATGCTTTACTAAAGAAAATTCCTTATTTCTTATGCTTCCTCTTTCCATCATAGATTAATTCTAGCCTTTAGTTAAGATATCTTGAAATTCGCATTCCAAAGTTACAATCTTTGTTTCTGAATCGTTAAGGAGGTCTAATATTTATTAATCAGACTTCATTGATTCCTTAATAAGTGGATGTAGAGATGCAGGAATATCTGAGGTCTTAAGTTTGGTAAATGCCTTCTTAAGTAACTTCCAAAAATCTTATTCTATAAAAGCTTTAACTTGATCATTTCTCTCTTCCTCTTTAGGGTAATACTCTCTAAATTCAGTTTCATTGAAATAAGTTTTAGTAAGATAGCAGAATTTATCTGATGTTAAAATTCCATCGATAATATAAAGATTTTTCCCTTCATAAGGGTTAACGTAATTAGAACTGCCTGATTGTAAGGAAATCATTTCAGCATCTTAATTTGCTCTTTCATCCTCTTCAATTACTATTCCAAAAATCTCTAAAATAATAAGCATTTTTATGGTAATACTTACCCATTACGTCATTGAACACTACAATATCTTCGACAGTATAAACCCCTTACTTGATTATAGCCACTAGATAGTCAACAAATAAATCGAAATAAAAAACTTAGAATTCAGTAATATAATTCTCCCATAGTGCTCTGAATTCTTCTCTTTCTACTACAGTTTTAAGCTCTCTTATATCAAATTTCTTAGTCAGAGATGGTATACTTGTGTGACTAAGAATATTAAATACCTCCAAGTCAATTCTACCTTTTTCATCAACAAGTTCCAAGAAGTTATCATCATCAGGTCGATTAAGACTCAGACATACCTGGATGAATTGATTTTCCGAGTCCCATGGTCTCAGCATCTACAGCCAAAGCTTAGCAACATCAGCCACCTTATTAGCTCTAAAAGACTGAGAGATCATAAGCTAATTTTAAACTATCAAGGACTCATTACTATTTTAATGAATTATCTTGAACAGTGTTTTAAAGTACTTGTATAAAGTTCCTTTCAACTCAATGAGATAGTTTACTTTCTAGTCATTTATGAATTGATTTCTAACTAAATGAGTTTAGTATTAATCAGTATTGAATTGAAGTCTAATATTTTGTAATAAGCTTATGAAAATATAGGCAGACTCAAGATGCTAAGTATTACATAAAAGTTTATCAGCTAATCTATATCTTTTGGTAGTATTAAGTTGAGTGGTTTCATTTAGTTCATAGTGAATCAATGGATTCATAATATACTCTTCAAAAGCTAGAACAAATTAATCACAAAACTAGAATGATGCAGCTCTTTGTTAATAAACAAGTTTATATCTCTCATCGATAAGTGATGCTAGAAGTCTTGTGAAATTAATTGTCATGACTCTTTGATAATCAAGTCTCGATTCAGTGACAGCAGTCTCATCCATAATCACAACGTTTGTTTTCTTCAAAATTTACCTGAGGAGTAAGGAATTGACGAATGGCTAAGTATAGTCTATTTTGAAAGCCATACTTCTCATAAAATGCATCACAAATTATTCCCAAGGATTCAAAATGATTTGAAGATTATCTAAAGCGGTTCTCTGAAGCTGAATTTATTCAGTTAAGTTATGATATAAAGTAGGTAAGTACTCAAATTGCTTAGCTTGAATAATCATTCTTGTGTGCATAGGCAGTATATCATCGATGTTAAAAGAGAGGCAGCCTGGTGAATTAGCTGAGATTCTCAAAAAATTTTAATACTCAAGGCAGACATTGGCTAACTATATTTGATATAGATCCATAAGTTTTGAAGTGAAATTGACCAGATCACACCATTCCATCTACACGAAATCAAATTTATCTCCCAGTAATTAGTCTCTTATATTCTAAAATTCAGCAAACCACCCATCATCTATGAGTATTTAAAATATCAGTATAATTTTTACCTTGATGTGATGGAAACAAAAGTCTTAAGATTAGCGGTAAATTATGAAAGAACTCATTTACAAGGTACTAGTCAAGAACATAATGTGAGTGAGTTTACTTCATTCTCTTAGCATTTTGAGATCTCATGGCACTACTAAAGTTCTTTTCTAGGAATAATGACAGTATGTCTAGCTTTTCAAGAGTTTTATAGGACCTTGTTTGATCAACGAGGATAATCAGTTCAGGATTTACACCCTAATATGCCATACTTATTTGATTACTTGAAAATTAAATTATAGGCAAAAAATAATTCCTAACAAAATCAACTTGCACAATCTTTGTTTTAGGGGTTTTGGGGTTTTGGGGTTTTGGGG